CCCCCCTTCGCTTTCCTCCTTTTTTAAGAAATAAGTTGGTACATTAGGGAGCTCTGGTGGCCTGGTGACAAGAAGCTGCACTGCAATCCCAGAGGTACACAGTTCAAATCCACCAGAAGCTCTGCTGGAGAAGGAGTAACAATCTCCTCCTGTACCAGTCAGATCTGATTTGACAGTCCGCGCACACAAAATAATAAAATAAATTTTTTTTTAAAAAAAAAGAAGTAGTTGGTACGTATAAAACTGAACTTTCCTTTTCCCTGAAATGACCATCGGCCTTTTCTCGTTCTCACTTACATACCTCGGACAGTTTCATCTCAACCATTCAGCTCCCCTGGCTTCCCAACAGCTTCTCTCTCAGTTCCCTGTTTGTCCCCAACATCACGTTCTATTTTAATGTCTCCCACTTTTCCCTTCTTCTTTCTAAGGCTTCTGCTTCAGAGTTCCTTGTCCTTGTATCATGGTGGTGTCCTTACTGCCTCTAGTGTCTTCCTCCTGCCCCACAGTAGTGTCTCACATCATTGATGGGCTCTTCCTAAAGAGATTCTAACATGGAATGAAGGCTAGAGTCCCCATTCCCTGATTGCCATTCAAGAGTCTCCCTTATCTGGGCCCAGCCGGCCTTAACCATCTTACCCTTGTCCTGTAATCCAAACCCTCAAGTATGTAGTCAGACTTGAAAATTCAGAGTGCTCATGACATACCTTATTTCACTTGCAGCTTTTTTCCCCTCTTCTTTGAGACACCAAAAAAAGTCCTGTCTTTTTTTTTTAAGCCATTATTTTGTAACCATTTATTTAATATGTACTTTCCTCTGTACTGTGACTATTAATGTAATTAGAATGTGTGTGTGTGTGTGTGTGTGTGTGTGTGTGTATGACTTCAGGACAGAGCCTCTCTCTTTTTAGAAAGATGTTTCCTGTGTATATGTGTTGGGTAGCCTCACAAGTACTTGGAAATAGTTTGCACAAATTTATATCACATGAGACCCCAGTATGGTGCTGTGCACATTTTTAGCATTCATGAATGTGTTTTACATGAGTCATGGACATGTCTATTTTGCCCTTACGCTTTGTAAGACCTGGAAGGACCTTTAATTACTCCAACGTGATACATTATTTTAAAATGCTGTCATAAAGAATATTAGAAAATCTGCTTAATAGTGATAATTATTATGGGACTTTTTGTTTTTAGATATGGCCGGAACACACTTATTCAGTTTGAAGACTTTGGAAACCATAATGCATTCAGGTTCTTGAGAAAATACAGAGAAAAATATTGTACCTTCAATGATGATATCCAAGGTAAAGCAAAAAGGAATACTTGAAGGGTTAGTTTCTGCTTTTAAACTATTTTTTAATATGTCCATTTGTTATTTTTAAATTACGTGTTTCTCTTACAGGTACAGCCGCAGTAGCTCTGGCCGGCCTTCTTGCTGTACAAAAAGTCATTGACAAACCTATTTCAGAACACAAAATCTTATTTCTTGGAGCCGGAGAGGTAACATTTCGTTAAATTACTAGAATTTAATTTAGAGACATTTAGAAATTAATTTAGAGAGAATATCCTACAACCAGTGTTTGTGTCATTTATAAGGAAAGAATATTCCTTGTGATACATGATATTAATAAGTAAAGTGACTCCAATACTGTGGAGTGTTGTCATTTTCTGAATGTGTGGGATTTCTTTGGACAGGCTGCCCTTGGAATTGCAAACCTTATAGTTATGTCTATGATGGAAAATGGCCTTTCAGAAGAAGAGGCTCAAAAGAAAATCTGGATGTTTGACAAATTTGGTTTATTAGTTAAGGTAAGACATTTTAGACTTGAAAAAGCAAAAGAATGTTGCTATAATATTTTGAGTTGAATTTTTAAAAATACTTTTCTCTCTTAATTTTTTTTTCCATTTAAATGGACTACCTACATTGTACCAGTAGACACCTTCCCATTTATTTTTATTTATTTAGCCCTCGTGGCCTAATTGGGAGAGAGTTGCACTGCTAATCCAAAGGCCAGGCCGCTCAGGCATTAACGTCATCTCTTCCTGTGGGATTTACAGTGTTCAGAACCCGGGGGGGGTCAGCTAGGAAATTTGTTCCAAATTGACAACACAGAGTTTTTGAGTTTTAGATTTTACATATTCTTAAGGAGCTCTGGTGGTGCACTATGTGTCATACTGCTAACTGAAAGGTGTTTGGTTCAAGTCCACCAGCTACCGAACAAGAGAAAGACAAGTCATGAGTGTCTGTATACTTTTAGGAATCCTGGTGGTACTATAGTTAAAAACATTTCATCTGCTAACCAAGTAATGATCAGTGGTTTGAACTGATTAGCTGCTCTGTGAGGAAGTTGAGGCTGTCTGCTTTCTGGAAGCTTTACAACAGTCCTGCGCTCTAGATGGTTCTATAGGTGGTTCTGCTGTGTCCCACAGAGCTGCAACTCTGAATCAACTCTTATGCAATAGGTGTATTTTTTTAAACAAAAATCCTCCAGTCTCAAACTTAAGTCTTTAAAAAAAGACTTGTTTTCTGTTTGGATCAAAATCTCTGTGTTATAATCAGACTTACTCATTCTTGCTTTGTCTTCTGATTCAAAAAAATCAAAGATCTGTTGAACAAATGATATTTAATCTTCCTGAAACTTGGTGGACATTAACTTTGATTTCTGGCAGTACATCTGATAGTTGACTGAAAATTCTTGAATCTTTTTGAGATCATAATGCCCTATTGCTTCTCTGTTGGTAAACTCAACCTGAATTAGTGTGAAGCTGTTTATAGTCTTAACCATATGTGTTTGGTGTGACTGTTCACAGTGTTTGTACAATTGTGTGATGCCCATTGAGGGAGGAGAGGACAATGTTTTACTATCTTTCATTTCCAAAATATTAAAAATTAAAAATTCCAGAACGCGTCTAGTGTAGAAAACACATTGCAGACCTTTGTGCCCTACTGGGTACAGGGTGAATTCACAGAGTAAGTGAGTTTTTTAGTTGCTCTGGTGGCTTGAGCGCTCTGTGGTGTGTTACACTGCTGATCAGAGGGCTGTGTCTCTCCACCAGTTCAAATCCACCAGCCAGCCACTCTCCAGGACAAAGACGGGCCATCATTTTAAGATTTCTAGTCTCAGAAACCCAACAGTGGGTCACTGTAAGTCGGAACCAACTTGACAGCAGTGAGTTTGAAGTGTTTTTCTTAAGAAAGTTTCTAGGTGTTTATGGGATTTGCTTTATGGATTTTATTTGGGTTTACACTATGAATACAAAGTTGAAAGATGCAGTTGAAGAGAAAATAAATTGAAATTAAAAGTTGGTGTATCCAGTGTGACTCAATGGTATCTTTTCCATTAACCCTCAATATACATTTGTGTATTTTATCCATAAATTCAGGAGCGGAAATCTAGAATAGATAGCCACCAGGAACCTTTTGCTCACTGTGCTCCAGAGAGCATACCTAACACTTTCGAAGATGCAGTAAATGTGCTTAAGCCTTCAGCTATAATTGGTGAGTAACGTTATCAGTAAGTAATTTTATGTATTTAAAATGTATGTCTTCCAGTCGTGACTACTATGTAGGATTACAGAAAATGAAGTGACAGATTTTATCCCTCTTTGAGCGTATCTGGTAAGTTTCCTGTGATGGCTTCTGATTAGGCTGCATCAAAGTTAAGGGATGTGTCTTGTATTTCCTAAGCCCTGCTATGACTTGGATGCTCTGGTGGCCCAATGGTTAAGGAGTTGCATGACTAACCCAAAGGCCAGTGGTTTGAATCCACCAGTAATCTCCTTCCCTGTGATTTACAGCCTCTAAACACTTGCTGGAGGGTCAGTTATGAGTCATTTCTGACTTAATGGCATTGAGAGAGTTAGAGAATAATTATTGGGTCAAAACCTTGAGACAAAGACCAAAGTCATTTGAAAGACTTGTATATGGGAAGTCCTCATTGACAGTAAAACTGAAAACTTTTTACTGCTTTGTGAGAGTCAGGCATTATGCACATGGTCTGGTCTTTGTGCCAGTATAGTGTGAGGTCTTCAGCAAAAGTAAAAGTCTTTGGAAACAACTTCCTAACTTTCTCTATTGCCATAGGATTTTAGATTATGGATCAAAGATTATAATGTCTTCAGTATGAATTGTAGCTCAACATCAAGAAGACAAAAATCTTCCCCACTGGACTGATAAGCAGCATCATGACAAATGGAAAAAAGATTATTATTGTCAATGATTTCATCTTACCGGGATCTGCATTCTGCACGCTTGGTGCTAGCATTCAGGAGATCAGGAGACCTATTGCACTGGGCAAGTCCATTGTCAGGGACCTCTTCAAATTACTGAGTAACAATGATGTTAGTTTGAAAACTAAGTTGTGCCTGATTCAGACCATGGTCTTTTTAGTCATTTGCTATTCACCTGAGAGCCGGGAAATGAATAAGGGTAACAGAAGAATTGATACCTTTGAGTTGTGGTGCTGGAGAAGAGTACTAAATAACGCATGGACTGCCAAAATGTCTTGGGAAAAGTACAGCCAGGCTACTTGAAGGCAAGGATGTTGAAGCTTTGTCTCATGTAAGGAGGCTATTCCTTGGGAAGGAACAGCATGCTTGGAAAAGTGTAGAGTTAGTGGGGAAAAAAAGGAAGATCCTTAACGAGGTGGATTGAGACAGTGACTGCAAGCAATGAGATGAGCGTGATGTATCAGATAATGAGGATGGCACAGGATAGGACAGGGTTCGGATCTGTTGTTCATGGGGTTGCTACGGGTCATGAGTCTCTCAGCGATACCTAATAACACAGCTGTATAGGATTTTAATCTGTAATATTTCTTGTAATTTTATCCATCTCATTTAAGATTCATAGATGACCATATTTCTTAAACTGAACCTTTCTTAAATTTTTTATTATTATTCTTTTTGTGTGTGTGTGTGTACCGTCAAATCAGATCTGACTGGTACAGGAGGAGATTGTCCCTCCTTCTCCAGCAGAGCACCTGGTGGATTCAGACCACGCACTTCTGGGATTGCAGTGCAGCTTCTTGCCAGTAGACCACCAGAGCTCCCTAAAATGAACTTTCTGTTACATCAACTCCGACTTCTGGTAACACTTAAAGGACAGAGTCAAACTGCCCCCTAGAGTTTCCAAGACTAAATGTCCTTGGACGTTTATCCTGAAAAGTGACTGGTGGGTCCAGACCTTTCAGTTACCAGCTTAGTACTAGACCACTGCACCACCAGGGCCTCTTAAGTAGATCCATGTTGAACATTACATAGTAACACAGTCAGGACCACTCAGTTCCAGTCAGTCAGGAACATGTGTCTGTATTTGGAGCTAAGAAGAAACCATAAAGATCATATAGTCCTTTTTCCCCAAAACTCACTGTGGAAACCTAAGACTCTTCCACTGACTTCCCCACCTCCTCAGAATCAAGGAAATGACAGAACCAATTTTTCATATTCTGTCAGAACTCATGGATCCTTAAGAATTTCTTCACATATCCTCATGTAAAGAAACACAGTGAATCTAGAAATACAAGGAGCTTGCCCCATATTTGTGAGAATTTTGTATAGCCAGTTTCAGTCGTGCTGAAATCTAGGTCTCTCCTCAGCTGGGTGTGTGTTTGTTGGGTTCTTTCTCCTCTGTCACATAACATAGGGAGCTCTGGTGGCCTAGTGGTAAGAAACTACTCTGCAATCCCAAAGGCATGCAGTTTGAATCCACCAGTTGCTCTATGGGAGAAAGATGGGCACTCTCTTTCTACACAGTTTACCGACTCTGAAAACCCACTGGAGGGTCAGCTAAGTGTCGGTTTCCAATTCATTGGTACCCAACAACAACAGTCACATAGCAGTTTTCAAATTTGAATTAAAAAATTCTTTTTTCCCCTGTATTTAAGTGTCCTGACTGGGTGAAATGGATAAGTGAACTCCTGAAATGTCCCTGAATTCCCACCTGGGTAAAGAATTCTTCCTTCCAGCTGTGCTTCTGGGACACATCCCTATGGGGTGATTCTGGAGTTCTGTCCTACTACAAACAGCTTTTGGAATCTTCAATTGTTTGGTTTTTTTTTTCAGCTGTAAACTGTCTGCATTGTACTTGTTTTTATGGCCTGAGATACTATAGGAATTTAGTATATGGTTTTTGAAATGAACTGTATCATCAAGCAAAACAGTGGGCTAACAAGTTAACTGAAGATCCCTTCTAATCCCTGTTATCTCGAAATAAGTGCCACAGAGTTTAGAAGGCTAACATTTGAGATGGAAGATTTATCTTAATTAGAGTAATGGATCTGGTCGTAGACTCTTCCCCCTGCTAATTTTCCATAACTCACTTTGAATCTATAATAAACACTATTTAAATGAAATCTTTCCACATTCTACTGTTTTTCACTTCCGGACTTGAGATTATATCCCCATAGCATTATCTCAGCAAACGAAATCTTTCTTTGTAAAGGGCACTTCCCTTGGTTAGGGGACACCTGTTGTAGAAATGCTGTTGTTAAGAATTGCTTTAATAGACCAGTAGTAACGGCGCTCTTGTCGTCCTCCTCTATTACAGGAGTTGCAGGTGCTGGCCGACTTTTTACTCCTGATGTCATCAAAGCCATGGCCTCTATCAACGAAAGGCCGGTCATATTTGCGTTAAGCAATCCTACGGCAAAGGCTGAGTGCACGGCTGAGGAAGCATACACACTTACAGAGGTATTCATCCAGATATTCACGATGTATTTGTATATTCTTTTCCCGCTAAAGCTTGTTAATTGTACATTCTTACATAGGGTGGTTACCCTATAGATTACAACATGCATCCATGGGAAATCAAAGTAAATATGAATTATTGGTTGTGCTACTTCTAGATCCAGTCAGATGAAGTCTCTTCAGTTGTGTGCCTATAAATTTATTTTTGCCTTCATTTTGAAGGACATTTTTACTGTGTATAGTTACTTATGTATGTTATTTATATATAGTTATTTAGTATATTTGTGGAGCTCTGGTGGCCTAGTGGCAAGAGGCTGTTCTGCAGTCCTGAAGGCACGCGGTTCGAAGCCACCTGCTGCTCCACCGGAGAAGGATGGACAGTCTCCTTCTGTGTGATTAACTGCCTCTGAAAACCCACTGGAGGGTCAGCTCAGGGGCGGTTCTGACTCTGTTGTTTTCTGACTTATGTTTTCCTTCTGATAAATATCTGGAATTGAAGTTGTAAGTATGAGCAGTTTTTACTGTCAAAGAACTAGGTCTCCTTTTCTTTGTGTTTATTCCTTCCGTGTGGGGATTCTGATGCCCTGAATCTGGCTCGATGTCCTGGCCAGCGTGTCTGTTTGGCCACGTTCTCTCTGTCCTCTTCTGGGACTCCAGTGGGAGGAACGGGAGGGGGAGAGGGGCTCCTAAGGCTGCTCCAGCCGTATGTCAGCCGGCTGATTTTCTCCACGCCTGTCTTCCAGTCCACAGACCCTGCTTCCAGCTGTGAGGCTCTGATGTTAGGGTCTCATTTCATTTATTACACCTTTCTCTTTCAAAAATTCCCTTTCTTTTTATACTAATTTAGTAATATATTATTAATTTTATAATCATAAGTAATATAATACTTAAAACTGTGTATTAGAGAAATAATACATTTTTTCTTTTTTGTGTTTTACTCCTTTGCCTTTTTTGAGGGTGGTTTTTTTTAGAAATACATCTAGCTTTCTTGCAGTGTTTTATGAAATTTTACTTTCTTCAATTGTATCTTCACCACCCGTGTTTGTCTTCATTATGGCCATTTTTTTTTTTCGTCATCAGATAGTTGTCTTAGATGCTGTTAGAACAGCTGCTTTTCCTACCATTCTAGAGATGTATTTGTGACCTTCCCAGTATTCCATATTCTTGTAAATGATCTTGAGCTGTTCTTGAAGTGATATGTATAGACCTGTTTACAGTAAACCCAGTATTTATAATTGTGAGATCATGCCCTTCAGAATGATTCATACATTTGTCACAAATGTTTCTGTTTCTCCTCTTTAAAAAAAAGAAAGAAAATTCCAAGGTGAACTACGGTAGAAAACTAATAAACTCCTGTGTCCTGGTCATCAGCCTCAAAACCAGTCAGCTCAGCTCCTGTCCTTCTTCTCTATCCCCCCATCTAGAATATTTTGAAGCAGATCTCAGATACTGTATCATTTCCTTGTAATATTTTGTTAAATATCTTGAAAAAGAAAAGATTCTTTAAAAATATAATCGTATGACAACTGCCTTAGAATTTTAAGTCACTTGACACTTTTTAGATCCTTTTGTACAGCTTTCTGTTTGTGCTGAAACTTTTATCTCATCATTTGATTTCTTGAGTTCCTGATACATAATCCTTTTTAAGTTACTCTTCAGTTGTTTCTGGTATCTCAGCTCTCTGTAAGTCTTTTCCTGTTACCCGGTTTGAGGGTTGATTTTCTGGTTTAGTTATTAGTTCTCACATCTTTCCTCCTGCACATCAGCAAACTCTGGCAGAACAGCTTGATCCAATCACCTTTTTTCTTTAGACTTGGCTCCTTGAGGTGCAAAAGCCTTGGGGCGTTGACCCACGCTCTTCATTCTTAGTTTTCTCTTTAACATGATGAGACTCCCAATACTTTGCGACTCAGGCTCACCCCCAATTTCTCATTATCTTGGGAATGATCTGCTCCCTTTAAAAATCTTTTCTTTTTTTTTCTTTCCAGTGTTCCTCTGTTACCAGAGGGGGAATTGATAATAAAACCTAGGAGACCATTGCCAGTACAAGGCACTCTCAGAACTTTCTGAACACGCTGCTTATACTCTTGCTATATCTAGTATCCTTTTATCGCATTGTTAAAAAATTTTTGTTGAGATAAATATGTTGTTGTTGACTCATAGCAACCCTATACACAACAGACCTGAACCCTGTTCTATCCTGTGCCATCCTCATCACCTCTGACACACTCGAGCCCATGACCAGTCTATCTGTCAGTCCCTCTCATTTGGAGTCTTCCTTTCTTTCACTGACCCTCCACCTTTCCTAGCATGATGTTCCTTTCCAAGGAATAGCCTCTCCTGGCAATGTCTGTTAAGTATAAGAGAGAGAACTTCCCCATCTGTGTTATCACTCAGTGCTAGTCACATCATATTTTTACCATTACGGTGCTGCTTTTGTTTATCATTTTAAGTACTGAATCTCCAACAGTCTTTGAAATGTTTCTAAAGTCATCTGGCACGTCAGCATATAAAGTTTTATATATCCTTTTTAAATCCATCTCTTTAGTATTCTGTCTTAACCATTTTACCAAAACACAGTTTGACTTCCAGCTTAATTACCCTCATCTTACTCAGCAGTCTTACTACTTATAACTAATAAATGCTTGTTGCCTGCGATGGCTCGGCTAGCATCCCCCAGAAATGTGTCCTCTTGGTGAGGCCATGATTCTCGGTATGACGTAATTCCCTCCCGTCTGTGATCTGATGCAGTTCCCCAAAGTGCTGGAAATCCTAACCTCTGTGCTGCCGAACAGGCAGGGTTACTGTGTTACGGTAGTGAGGCAGGGTACAGCCCGCAGGGATAGGCTGTATCTTGAGTGGATCTATTTTGAGACATAAAAGGGAGCAGATCAAGGAGACCTGTGTGCCACCAAGAAGGAAGAGCCCAAGGCCAAACACGTCCTTTGTACCCAGCGTTCCTGTTGGTGAACTTCCAAGATCCAGGAGAAGGTTACTGCTGAGATGGTTACTGCCGAGACAACAATGAGAGCTGAACAGTGACTCGGGATGACAGGATAAGAATTGATGCATTTGAGATGTGGTGTTGGAGAGGATCACTGACCATCTGGCCAAAGAGCAAACGGATACGTCTTGGGAACAGTGCAGCCACAGTGCTCTTTGGAGGCAAAGGTGGCAAACCTTCGTCTTTCCTACTTTGGACATGCAGCTAGAGGAAGCTGTTCCTTGGAAAGGAATGCCATGCTTGGAAAGACAAAGTGTCAGTGAAAGAGAGGAAGACACCCCGCCAAGAGATGGATTGACACGGTGACTGCTGCAGTGGGCTCTAGTGTGTCACAGAGAGTGAAGCCAGGACAGGATAGCGCAGGGTTCGAGTCAGCTGGGGTACTTGACGGCCCCTAACAAGAAGACACGTGGAGATCTCCCGAGAACGCACACACAGTCTGCCTCCCCCCTCTTCAAGTATGAGAGGAGAAATTTCTGTTAAAACTATCCACTTGTAATATTTCCGTTACAGACATGCCAAATTACGAACACATTGCCTTCCCCAAAATTAAACCTTAGTCTTAACAGTGATTATTTTTCAGTATACACAGTGTTTCTAAAGCCATGATTTTAAATATGTTAAGCAGTGCATGTCACTAAAAGGCTAGTCAGGTATTTTAAGAATCTTATTTCTAAAAAAAAAAAAAAAAAGATTAGTGTGAAAAAAAATTGTATACAAACTTTGTAAGCAAATCAATTTGAAAAAGTACTTTAAAAAAAAAAAAAAGAATCTTATTTCTAGAATTACTGTGGTTACAATAAATGTCCGTCATTGAAAAGAATAAAAACTTCCTGTAGAGACTGGTCTGCTATCCCACACTTCATCACTGCTGAGATGCAGGTTTCTCACTTTTTTGTAATTTTAAATTATGCTGGGTCTTAAAAAAAATGATAAAACATTGTGTCATAGTTTAATAACAGTCTTCCTCTGTGGCATACACTCTGGTATACTTGCAATCCTAATGGTGTCCTAAACTCTCCCTCATTTTCAGTCCAGAAATCTTGGTGTTCCTCTAGCACCCTCTGCTGTTTAGTTTGTGTGGATGGTTTGGTTTTGGGGCTTTTTTAAGTGGGAAGTTGGGGTTTTTAAAAAAACAACAAGAGCGCTAAAACGGTCAATTCATTAACCATACCAATCAAAAACAGAACTAAGAGTAGGTCAGAGAATGCTAGTGTCGAGATTTGGCCGTGTTTCTGCTGTGAGTTTATTCTGGAGAGAAAGGGTTGACCATGAGACAGTGAACTGCAGAGGATCCTTCTTGTTCTAGAGGGCCCACCTCCAAGATTTCTTTGTAAATCTCCAAATTTAATAACAGGACAAGAAGTGAACTTGACTTTCCTCCCTTAAAGTGCTGTGTTGTCTGTAACTTCTAAAGCTGTTAAAATTTATGCTACCCCAGAAAGAATTATTGTTTTCTTAAATGACATAATTATCATTATACAGTAACATATAGTGTTAACCATGGCCTAACTGTAATCTTCAAAGACCAAAAATTTTTAATATATAGATTTATGTTGACCACAGACAGCCTTCAGCAAGCACTGTATCTTTTTTCTTAATGGGAGGCATTTGAGGAAAAAAACCTACATGTTAACAAAGGTTTAATTAGGTTTAATTAATTAATTAATGTTAATTAGGTTTCGGGTACGTTTCAGTTGCCTGAGCATCTATTTCTTAGAAATACTGAATGAGCTCGTTATATGTGTTCCGTGTCACTGAAGAGCGCCAAAGAGCTCTCTTGGTGTTAAAGAATGCAGCTACTAACCCAACGGTCAGCTGTTTAAGACAAAAAATGCTGCCTGGGAGACACTCGGCGTGCTAACTCAGTGTATTTGTCAGCCTTGGAAACTCTAGAAATTCTGCTCTGGCCTCCATGATCATCATGAATTGGAATTGACTCATTTGCAATGGATGTAAAGAACCAGTCAGGACAGCAGATTCAGAGACTTGATTGTCTTCAACATAAAGTGTGCATTGTTTTTGATGTTTGGGTTGTTGGAGGGTTTTTTTTTTGGTCTGGGATAATAATGTGGTTCTACCATATTTCTAATTTATAAATTGTCTAATCAGGGCGGCATTGTAGCATAATAGAAAGACTGTGGGCCTTAAAATAAAAAAGAATCTAGATTCAAGGTTTAACCACTACAACATTAATGTGTGATTTATTTTTTTCTTTTTAAAGTATTCGGCACTTATCACCCTTAGGGGTTGGTTTGTTGTTTTTGGTTTGGTTTTTTTTCTCTCTTGCTGTTTTTTTAAAATCCATGAGCTGTTTTTAGTGATAGCTTTCCAAGGACCAAATCAACTGATTTAATACATATAAAACAACTGATAGCCAAAAATAACAAGTATACAATGAAATCTAGTAGTTTCGCCCCACCTACTTTGGACATGTCGTTCAGAGGAGTTATTGCTTGGAGAGGGACATGATAACAGGAAGGGTTGAGGGTCAGTGAAAACCCTTGACCAGGTAGATTAACAGGGTGACTGGGGCAATGGGCTCTTGTGAGTCAGGAAGTGTCAGGATGGTGCAGGACTGGGTTCAGATCTTTTTGATAGGGTCGCTATGAGTCGTACTTGACTCGATGGCACCTAACGACAGCAACAGGAGTTTCCTTTTTTATGTTCCCCCTTTATTCACAGATGCTGACATCAATCTTTGGTAGTATTTATTGACCAGGTACAATATAATATTTTTAGTGGAGGTGGAAGTGTTTTCAGGATTGTTTAATTGTACTGATTAACAGTTTGAAGTTTATTTGCATGTGTACTGTGCATAAGACAAAACTCATTCTAATGAAACAGTTTTCATGAAAGGATGATTAGTGTGAAACATTGTGTCTTATTTTCAAGGAATATATTGTTCTGCTTTACTAGAGGATTTATTTTTTATGAATTCACCTTAATTTTCTATTCACATAAAATGCCATTAAGATAATTTCATTTCATTAACAGGGACGGTGTTTGTTTGCAAGTGGCAGTCCATTTGGGCCAGTGAAACTCAGTGATGGGCAAGTCTTTATGCCAGGTCAAGGGAACAATGCATATATTTTTCCAGGTAAATACCACCCCTACTGTTAGAACATAATGGTTATCAAAGAATACTTTGGGAAGTTCTTTAGAAATTAAGGTCAAAATGTGCTACAGTATTTATAGACTTTTCATGTGAAAGTACAGGGGATGCAGTAAGATCATACTTGCTTTGTTTCTCCTGCAGATTTATTTCTTGTTACTTAAGCTTGGGTTTTGTTATTGAAATAATATAGTATGTGGTTTATAAAATGCAAAAGAAGAGAGGCTGATGTCAGGTGAGGTTTATCTTGAGTCATCAACTCTGGAGTCTATGATATTTCGTAGTATGAATTTCCCACTATGAAATAGAAGTCATGTGCACGTCTGTGTTTATTGCTGCATTGTTCACAATAGCAAAGAGATGGGAAGAACTCAAGTGCCCATCAGCAAATGAATGGATAGAGAAGCTTTGGTATATTCACCCAATGGAATACTATGCAGCACTGAAAAACAAGAAACTCATGAAATAAACAAAATGTGTGACCCTGGAGGACATTTTGCTGACTGAAATATCTCAGTTACAAATACTACATAATGCCACTTTTGTGAAACAGGATTGACATGGAGGTTGGGGAGAAACCAAGAAAAGGGGATAAATAATGTAAGCTGCATTGTAACAGATGAGAGAAAGAACTGTTTAAAAAGAATATATGGTTGGGTATTATTTGTCTGACAACAGTCCAGAATAAGAGCTGCATAGCAAAGTAGACTGAGGGAGGGGGTATGAAGCATTTTTTTTTCCCCCGAAGAGAAAAGCTAACTGGGGTGGGGGGTGGTGAGTAGGGAGGAAAATGTGCAACATGAATGAATAGAAATCCATGTTCTCTATAAACTTTCATTAAAATCTCAGTAAAAACAAGTCTCTAAAAATAAAAAATAGAAGTTATCTATTATTCTTCTATTTGTTTTACCTCTCCATTGCTCAATGTTTATTATTACAGCTTTTATATAATATACTTAATGAAAGAATTTTTGCAAGCTGTTAAAGGCCGTTTTTATGTGCTTGCTAAAGGGCACGGAGAAAACACTGATATTTTTGATTCTTCTGTCTCCTCATCCCACCTCGGGCTTCTGCTGGTTGACGCTTCCTCTGCACAAAGCTTTCTTCTTTGTGACATTTACATGTGTTCTGTTGCTTTCTTGTGCTTGGTTTATGGGTGAATCTGAAAACAGAAAGCCATAGTTAGGTCTTCTCTATGCTCTTTTTGATGAATAGAGTATCCCATTTTACAGTACTGAATTTTTGACACTCAATAAATTCTTGAAAGCCAGGAATATGAATCCTCTTTTTATTTCCTGTCTGTTGTCTTCATCTCTTGATACTGTGTCACAGCAAACTGTTTCTTTAATGTTTTGTGGGTTGTTTGGGGGTTTTTTTGGTTTGTTTTTTTTTTTTAATTATTTTGTGTATTTGTGTGTACCATCAAATCAGATCTGACTGGTACAGGAGGAGATTGCCCCTCCTTCTCCAGCAGAGCATCTGGTGGATTTGAACCGCATATCTCTGGGATTGCAGTGCAGCTTCTTGCCACTAGGCAACCAGAGCTCCCCTAAACTGTTTCTTATCTGTTACTGTTGTTTGTGTTCTTTCACCCATGCTAAACAATCTCTAACTCTTGTTTTTCTTTATTTGTACTTATCTTTAAAGTATCCTTATTTTATCCTCTCACTTGATACTTTAGTCAGGTAGAAATTGTAAATTCAAAAGCATCATCTTTAGACCTTTCAAAGTATTCACCTTTAGTATCCGGTGTTGTTGATGAGAAGGTCTGCTGTCAGAGAGACTCTTTTATAAATAGTAGATTTTTCTTCATAAAACTGAAACCTAACATGCCGCTAGCAGGTCAGTCGCAGTTCAGTGGTGACACTTCATCGGGTTTCCCAGGCTGTACATCTTAACTGGAAGAGACGGTTCTTTAGTCCAAGGAGCAGCTGGCGGCTTCAAGCTACTGAACTTTCAGTTAGTGGTGAAACAGAGGGTTCCCAGAACTCCTTTTCCTCATTTCAGTGTTTACATTTATGAAACTAGACGAGTTTATTCCTATTTCTTGTGCTTGCTTCATCATTTTTTTTCTCTTTAGGAATTTTTTATGTGTGCAAAAGTAGAGAAATAGTTTTATGAAATGCCATCTTCTAATCTTTGCCGTTATTGTTGCCAGCCACATTTAATCTGTAGATCCTGCCACCTGTCCCCATCTTCATGAGGTTATTTTAAAGCAAATCAGAAATATCATATAATTTAATTCATAAGTACTTCAGTATGTATCTCTTTAAGAATTAGTACTTTTTTAACATACTAGTATTACACCACAAGAAATTGACAATGAATACTTACTATGAAATGCCATCAAAACAGTTGGTTTGCAATTTTTTTTATTCCAAATAACTTTTTATTATTTCATAATTATTCTCTTTTTAGTATCAACTTTTTTTCTTAAGGTTGCATTAATCTCCCAGATCTCTCTGGACGTTCTTAATAGGACTAACTGCATTAAAGAGTCCCAAACAGAAAAATACATATTTAGGAGGGGTTGGGGGAGAATCTTGGATTATGTGTAGGGAAAAAGTTTAGAAGGGGGGGGAAACCTATCAGTAGTGGACAAAAGAAAATATTGTACCCCTGAAATAAGACAGAATTCTGCAAAAAAAAAAAATTTGTTTTAGAAAACAAAAATGAGCTCCTGAAAATGAAATGTGTGGATTTTAAAAATAAAAAATCATAGTAGAAGAATTAGAAGACATTGTTAATGTAATCACTTAGAAATAGAGTGAAGAACAGGAAATAGAAAAATTCTTAAAGAACAACAACATTACAGAACTGTTCCAGGAAGAAGTTGTTGTTGTTATGTGTCGTCGAGTCGCTTGCAACTCATAGCCTCCCTATGTACAACAGCCCTAAACCCTGCTCTGTCCTGTGCCAACCGCACCGCCTCTGACACACCTACCCCCATTGCCCCACTCACCGAATTAATCCATCTCATAGAGGGTCTTCCCCTCCTGCGCTGTCCCTCCACCCTCCCAAGCATGATGTCCCTCTCCAAGGACCCGTCCCTCCTTACAACATGTCCAAAGTATGTCAGACGAAGCCCCAGAATCCTTGCCTCCAAGGAGCAGCCTGGTTTAACCCTCTCCAGGATGAATCTGTTTTCTTGGCAGTCCAGGGTACACTCAATACTCTTCTCCAGCACCACAGCTCAAAGGCGTCAATTCTCCTTCTATCCTCCCTAGTTCCAGGAAGTACAGTATCAAAAGATTAAAATTTTCAGAGACAGGGAATTTATAAACTTAAGAACATTTCCCAAAATGGAAAGACTCAAGTCCCAGAAATCGAGTTCCTTGAGCTCATAGTAAGCAAAAATAGCACATTTCAGGGCACATCATTCAAAATTTTAGAATATTAAGGACATACATACCTCCAGAGATGAAACGTAAAGATAATGTCTTCAAAGGGGTGGAATCAGATTAGCCCTGGGCTTCTCACCAACAACCCTGGAAGCTACAAGCTTTTGGAAGTAATGCTTCACAATCCTGAAGAAACATCATTTCCAACCTAGAGTTCTGAACTCAGACTATCACATAAGTAGGAAAAAAATTAAAAGAAAGATATTTAGGGAAGAAATTTCTAAAAATCTGTATCTCCCATGTAGTGTTTTTCAAAATTTATGGGAGAATATACCCTATTATAAAGAGAAAATGCAAAAACTGAATAGGTGAAATTTAGGAAATCATAAAGGGAGTTTTCTAGAATGACAGTTGCATATCTGGAATGGTGAGCAGTTAGGCTGTACAGGATGCTTCAGGAGAGACAAGACTTATTTTAGAGGGTGAAACTAAAGAGCACGTGAAGTAGCTCAAATACTAGAAGATTTAGACAGCTGAATGGAAGTTTCAGGGCAAAATAATGTTAAGGAAAGGAAAAGTAAAGTAACTTCTAAGACAACAATACTGTGCAGAAACGGAAAAACAACTATGATGTGATACTCAGTGATGAATAAATAGCATTTATGAAGTCATAATATAAAGAGCAAATATGATTGAACCAAAATAGTCCCCTAAATTGGGAAGAAAGAGAGGTAGAAATGTGAAAGAGTACATATGATAGTACATTTTCTCAGAAGATACAGCAAGAAAGAATCTGTGGAACAAATTCATCCTGCAGAAGAAATATAAGCATGTTAGAGGGAGTGAGACAAATAGGAAAATTCTCAGCTGGAAGAATTACAAATACTTACCTGTAGAACAAGAAGTGGAGATGGGCATGGAACAGCCATCCTTTCTAATAAATCTCGAAGGATTGTGTGCATTTGAAGCTTAGATAAATAGAGAAGGGGTGAGAAAAGCCATTTGATATTTTAAAATGATTCCTTACATCAAAGGACAGTTAGGTGTGATTATTCAGACCTATTTCCACTGTTAGATTTACTTTCTTTCTTTCTCATGGTTCCTAGCTTGTGGGAGAGTTTTCAAGGTGGCAGTGGTTTACCGTTCAGTGCTTGAATCTAGGAATCTCTTTGATTGCTTTCATATTTTTGTAACCTGATAAATGGCTTTACTAATGACTGTGTGAAATGTGTCCTAGGAGTGGCGTTGGCTGTTATTCTCAGTGGCACACGGCATATTTGTGACACAGTTTTCCTAGAAGCTGCAAAGGTAAATGTTTCAAAGACCATTTGATTGTTTTTATAAAGAGAAATGGTTTTTAGAGAGCATGTATTCAATGTGTCTTATAAATGAAAAGATGTTAGAGATTTGTTGCTTTTTTTAATTATCTGACTTTTTTTATCATAAGCTATGAATCTCTTCAAACGTATAACCCACACTGTACTTATCTTTATGTGAGGTCACAAATTATGACCGCATAAAGTAGGCCCCAGGGAGCTCTGGTGGCCTAGTGGCAAGAAGCTGCACTGCAATCCTAGAAATTTGTGGTTCGAATCCACCATATGCTCTGCTGGAGAAGGAGAGGCAATCTCCTACTGTACCGTCAGATCCAATTTGACGGTACACACACTCACAAAAAAATATAAAATTAAAAAGAAAGAAAGTATGCCCCTTTGCTTTTTTTTATTAAAAAAGTACTGGTTTGTGCAGAATGCTGACTGCTTTGAGTTCTAAACTTTAAGATATGGTTCTGAAGAACAAATATTAATCTGTTTTCATAGTAGCTGTTGTGAACCACTTTCCCAAGCCCAGTGTATATTAAGGATACTGTATTTTTTTATTATTATTATTACTTTTGTGTGTGTGTACCGTCAAATCGGATCTGACTGGTACAGGAGGAGATTGTTGTCCCTCCTCCGGCAGAGCATCTGGTGGATTTGAAGCCTCTGGCATTGCAGTGCAGCTTCTTGCCACTAGGGCACCAAAGCTCCCCCAAGACTATATATTTTTAGAAAATCAAACCCACTGCAGCCAGGATGATTCTGGTTCCTGGTAACCCTCCATAGGTTTGGGGGTTTTTTCCCCCCTGAAGTGGTAAATCTTAACCAGAGCTGATGGCGTCATTTTTCTTCCTTGGAGAAGCTACTATATTCTAACCACTAATCTTTCAGATAGGGAGCTCTGTGGCCTCATGGTAAGAAGCTGGGCAGCAGCCCCAAAGGCATACGGTTCAAATCCACCAGCTGCTCCACAACATGGGCAGTCTCCTCCCATGTGGTGTGTTGTTGCCATTGTGTGCCGTTGAGTTGGAACCAACTTATAGCTGACACACTCCAGCAGGTTTTCAGAGGCAGGAAATCACATGAGAGGAGACTGCCTGCCCATCTTTCTCCCACAGAGCAACTGGTGGATTTGAACTGCGTGCCTTTGGGATGGCAGCACACCTCCTAACCACTAGGCCACCAGAGATCCCTTTATGAGATTTACTGCCTCTGAAAACCTACTGGAGGGTCAACCATGAGTCAGTTCTGACTTGATACATGACAAGAACCACCTTTCACTTAGTAGCTCAGCTCTTACCTACTGTGGTGCCGGGACTCCTTACTCTTTAAAAAATCTGATTAATTCTTTATTCTGGTATTCCTGCAGTGGTTTAAATATATTCCTGCAACAAATAAAGAGAATTATATAACCTGTACTGGTCTGTGTTCTCCCAGCCCTCTTTCCATTTTATCATGTCCTTATTGTGCTGAAGGATTAAACAAACAAAAGTAAAATGTCCTTTTTTTCACTGCAGGCACTGTCAGGTCAACTGACAGACAAGGAACTATCCCAGGGGAGACTCTACCCTCCACTTGCTAATATTCAGGAGGTTTCTGTTAACATTGCCATTAAAGTAAGTAGCAATTGATTTCTTCCCATACAGTGTCATGATTTTGTTACTATAGAACTAGTTCGAGTTTATTAGCTGTAAATGGTGGCATTTAGAAGAATGCAAAGACATTTTAGGTCACTGTATTTTCACTGCTGTAATATTAGCTCTTGGAAGCAGGAGTGGCATCCACTTCCTAAATAACATGCCTCCAGAATCCCTGTGAACTTTGATAAATGTCAGTAGTTACGGAGCGGCTTCAGGCCTTTTGTTCATCAGGTTGCTGTGAGTCTTGCTTGACTCAGGCAATCAACAACAATAGAAGCTACATTAATACTTTGAGTCTGCTGTCATCTCGTCTTTTTTCACTGTAGACACAGAGGTGCAGATACTCGCACATGCACCTGTAGTTACCTCTGCCTGTTTGTGTGCTTGGCCTAGCGCAGTGCTTTTCTCACTTAAAATAATCTAAACCTGGGCTACCCATGTGGGTCCGCTATACTGAGAAACAAAACTTTAAGGTGTTCATCAGGTTGAGGAGAGAAATGCTAATAATGCTCTTTGCCTCATACCAAATAGCACATAAAACCTGAAATCACCCCAACATGCAATGTTCACAGGTACAGCTCATGGCTCTGGTGGCCTGATGTTGAGTGTCATTCCCACAGAAGGAGCCTGGTGACATCACTCTCGCTCTCACTGTCTCTTTAACAGCTCACTGCAAAACAAATACCAAATGCTAGAGTTTCTTTTTTACTTTTGTCCATAAAAGCAAAATTCCTTTTAGGATCTCATTCTAACAGCAAAACCAGTAGGTCTTTTGTAAAAGAGCTGTTCAAAAAACAGAAGGTACCTCTATCTTTTCAACCTTCTGTGGCTTCTGAATGTTCTGAAATAAGACAAGGTAGTGTTGTGTCTCATATGTTAGAAAATGCCATTCTTCAGTGTTCACGGAGTTGTACTTCCCACTGTTGGGTTGCAGCTTGGTACCTGCACAGTCCTCTCGTTTCTTTTTCAGGTCATAGAATACCTCTATGCTAAGAAGATGGCTTTCCGACACCCGGAGCCTGAAGACAAGGCCAAGTATGTTCGAGAGAGACTGTGGCGAAGTGAATACGAGTCCCTGCTTCCGGACGTGTACGAGTGGCCGGAATCTGCGTCCAAGCCCCCCCAGATACCAGAGTAGGAGTGTTCCTGCTGAGGACCACTCTCCACACTCCAGGGACTGTCCTCTTTTTGTAAAAAAGAAAAGAAAAAAAATAACGTTCTCAAATTTTTGCCTCTTTGCCGTGGTTGTTTCCCTCTCCCCACACTTTGCTTGTCTTATTTTTGCCCACAGTCCTCCCATCTTTTGGAGGTAGATGTATTCATTCTCACGCAGAGCCCAGACCATATCAGAGAGAGCCGTTTAAAGATGTGTTTGTGAATGTTTGCACTTGTATTTTTGTTCACCCTTTCCAGAGGATTTGCTCTTTACCATTATAGGTAATGTTTGGTTTTTTTTTTCACCCAATTCTTTTAGGGTTACACACACATAGAAATTCTTTTCCATCAATGTTATTACAAAACCTTGTGCAACAGTCAAACTTCTCCCCATTTCGAAGGGAAATTATTGTCGGTATCTGAAAACGTTCTTTAATATCTGCTTCATTTTACCCTCATGCTCTGAAGTCCTTTACAGTGAACAGATCTAGGGAAATATGAAAAATGTACCCTATTATCTTCTTCAGCTAAATTCAGATGACTCTGTGAAAGAGGCATGGGAACCCCGCTGCCCTTAGACAAGCGGAAGTCATTGTTGAAATGGTGTATCAGAATCACAGTGTAACTTTTTTTATTTAATAAAAGTAATACCTTAATGTTGTTTGTTTCATTTATGGTATCTAATTTCTTGGCTGAAAATGTAGGTTACTTTACTGGGAAAGAAATAAATGTGTTTTTTTCCTAGAAGATGCTAAGGGCAAGGATACAGCATTCCTAAGGAATATATGGTGACTAATTAGGGTTGTTTTTTTTTTTTAAATAAATTAGTCATGTGTTGTTTTCACATCTATTTAACGTCTCCCAGTTATAATGATGTTATTACTTGAGATAACTGAGTAATGTTCCTCTGATACATACCTTTGAATGTCTAATTAGTGATGACTCAAACTTAGAGTTAAAAGAGCCTGGATCAAGTAGATATTCTGACCAGGAAAGGCCATTTTTAATCCCAGTAGTAGTTTGCCATTGAGTCGAGGACAACTCATTGTGACCCTATGATCAAAAGACCTGAAGTCTCTAACTATCGTTGTTTCTCAGATAGAGTTTCCAGAGCCATGTTGTTTAGGAAGTGGATGCCTCTCCTGCTTCAAATGCCTTAATCTGGGAGCTCCACCAAACACTGTCCACCGTGGATAAAACCCGTAAGATGGGTGGTAATTGGCTAGTGAGACCAAGTGTGGTGTCATATGGCAAAGTAAACATTTTGAGAACTGGTAATTGTTTTGAACAAACAAAACTTTGAAATCCTCATTCTAGACTGTCAACAGAATATTCATAGTTAACTACCAGTATGCACATAATTTGAGTTTTCTCTCTATAGTGATATGTTAAAATGTGACATACTGTAAGGAAAGGTGTACTGACTTTTTTTCCTCTCATCTACCTATATTGTTGTTAAGTGCTGTCGAGTTGGAACAAACCCATAACTGGACCCTCCAGTGTGTTTTCAGAGGTAGTGATTTGCATGGGAGGAGATTGCCGTCCTTCTTCCACAGAGAAGCTGGTGGATTTGAACAATGTTCCTTTGGAATTGCAGCACAGCTTCTTACCGCTAGGCCACCAGAGGTCACTAGATAAATTTTCATTCATAATAACTCTGAATATAACATTCAAATGCTAATACAACTGGCTAATCCACTTGTAAAAAAGACATAAAATCATCAGCTAAGTCACAATTTGTTAATTTTTATTAAAGATTAAAGGTTCTGCTCTTCATGGGACCCTTGCCAGAATATTTTTTAAAAAAAAACAAATCACCACTAAAAATATGTGATCTTGATTTTAGTATAATGTTACAAATATTTGTTGCTTGTTACTGAGATAATTACAACTCCCAGCAACCCTGAAAGGCAGGGTAGAACAGCCTCAGGGTTTCCAGGCTGTAGATCTCCATGGTGTAGACTATCAGGTCTCTTTCTCCCCTGGAGAAATATTTTAAGAATAGAGGCAGAACTGACATCCAAGCATATATATGCACA